AACTGCAGATAACAGTCAGCTGAAGTGGTCTGCAGTACTGCACCCTAATCACTGCGCCACCTCGGCTCCTTATTTTTTTTCCATTAAAAAAAGAACAGAGACATTGAGCAGAGGATATTCATGAAATTTCTGTCCATTTGAAGATCTACATCAAAAATCTCTGCTGATCTCTTTTTTGCCTTAATAAATATAAGGGATGTAAACACAGAGGTAAATTATCATCATCATTAAGTTCTGTAGAGAGCACATTGGGCAGCAAGTGTTTTCCAGCTGTTTTGATCATTTGCGCTGTCTTTATTATTGTCCTAAGATTTTCCTTGCATGTTTGGCAACAACGTATCTGAGACCAAGCTTTGTTTCTTTTTTCTGTGAGTAATCCAACTTAGTGCAATTTTTGGATGCCATCTTTCGGTATATGTAAGATATGGCCAATAAGCCACATTCAGCGTTCTTTCACAGCTTTCAACAGGTGTTATAAATCTCATCTTAAAATCTATCTGGGCCAACTAATTCTGTTCTGAAGTAACCCAACTGTTGCCAAGTCTGGTTAAAGGGTGGAGGGTTGGGCGTAAGGTTAGCACTCCTACCCTGTAAAAATGGTAAGCCAACTGAAAGTTTGTACTGATCTCATAGTAATTGTAATGACTGTGATGATTATAATTAGCAACAACAGCATAAAAGTGTCAAATCATTAAATGATGGTGTTGGAGTAAACCAAAAGGCCATCCAATGGCTGATGGTAGATTGACATTTAATACAAAATTTACAACACAAATTGCAACATGGATAAGTACAATTATTTATTTATTTTGAAGAGTTATGTGGCCACCCGCTGACTTTCAGTGACTCTGGGTGACTTACAAACAATAAGCAAATATAAAAAGAAAAAAACAACTCTCTACCTTTTTTTTTCTTTCAATAGCAAAAAGTCCAGAACAATTTGGGTTACATAGAATTATACAAAGAATTTTAAAAATTCAATTGAAACAGAACATTCCTTGTTGAACTAGTGGGTACATGACTAGTAAAGAGTTATGAAAGACTGCTTTATATATGATAACTGATCTAAAGTTTATTATATTAATAAAAATGAATATCTATGAAATGCCCACAATGGAAGAATTGGAGAGGAAGATGACAGAAGTAGCAGAGATGGCAACAATGATGTGTTTGATTAGAGAAATGATAATAAATGCATTTATTAGTGACTGGAAACTCCATATGGACTTTTTGCTTTAAAAAAAGAAAAAAATGATCTTGTGATTTATAGGTTTGATTATTAGAAAAGGTAACTATAAAAGAAGGAAGTTGTATTGTAACTTTAGAGAGACAGGATAAAATAAAAATGTACTTGCAACTGTACACCAGAAACTGCCTCGTTATAACTTTTTTCCTTTCTCTTCTGTATTTCTTTCTTTGTACATTTTCCTTTACTTTCCTTACTTTCTTTTCCAAAATTTCTAGTTTTTATTTTTTTNGCTTTGGAGAACAGTTTGACTCCCTCTTCTTTGTGGCAACCCCATAGATATTGGAAGACTGTTATCATGTCTCCCCTAGTCCTTCTTTTCATTAAACAAGACATACCCAGTTCCTCAGAAACAATACAGGAGCACCTCCCCCCGCCGGGTACGCTCGTACGTACTGGCTGGAACCCACCACTGATGTGCATGCATAGTAGTGAAAAAATTGCTTCTGAGCATATGCAGAAGCAAAAAACAGCACGGCGGCTCCTATGGCACCGCCGATAGAACCGGTTCGGGGATGTGAGTAGCCGAGTTACTACCTACTTGGCCGAACCAGTACGAACCGGCAGGAACCCACCTCCGATATGCAGGCATGTCCTTCACTTACCACCACAATTGACTTCAAAGTTTCCCTACCCAAGCAAGACATCGTTAAATGAGTTTTGCCTCCTTTTCACAAATTTTCATGCCACAGTTGTTGTTTTGACCTAGGCTTCCTGAGACACTAAAAATCACATGCTTAGTCCCCAAACCCCCTTTTTTATTTAAATGGCTGTGAATTATGTTCATTCACAGCCTGTAATGAGTCACCATCAGTCTGTAAAAAGTCCGACGGACGTCTGCCAAAGTCTTTCAGGGTAAGGCTGATAAGCGCCCACCTTTATCTCCCTTGAGATGCTGCCAGAGACCTATTTGCCAATTGGTTTTGCAAGGCCAAATGAAGCACAGAGTCAAACGGAGTTTAAACTGACCAGAACGAACGAAATTGCTTCCTTCAAAGACTCACGTCCGTTTGCTCCTCCTTTATGTCTAATGGGAGGAGCCAATCATCTCCAAGCCTTACTCTCGAGTCCCCGCTTTTGTCTTAACTGTTCTTGTCTTCTGGCAGCTCTGCTCATGCCCGCACTGGGAACAGGCTCCTCCTGTTCCTCTGTCTCGCTGATGTCAGACTCCAGAGCAGAAGTAGCAATAGCAATAGCTGTTAGGCTTATATACCGCTTCATAGGGCTTTCAGCCCTCTCTAAGCGGTTTACAGAGTCAGTGTATCGCCCCCACAGTCTGGGTCCTCATTTCACCCACCTCGGAAGGATGGAAGGCTGAGT